ACACACTCACACACACACACACTCACTCTCACACACACACACACACACACACTCGCGGCCAGAGGCGGACAAAGTACACTCGAGTGCGTTTTTACGTAAACACACTGTTTTATTATTGTTGTATGTAGTACTTGCAATGCCTTATGCCTCTGAAGCAACTTATAATGCATTACGCCTACAGAATACACTGAGTAAGAGCTTCTAGAATGCTAAAAACCTATGAAAAAAAATAAAAATATATTTATACCCCTTTCTCCCCACAAAAAAGCAGCTTGGTAGACAAAAAAAATTGACATTAAAAATGTCAAAAATGCTCTTTAATCGCTCTTGCGGTGCTTTGGTGTCATACACAGAGCAGTCTGTGCAGTGCAGCTTCAAATCAAACACCTACAGTATCGTGCTTTGTTAGGAGACGCACAACAGTTCTTCTGTGGCTTCATAGCTAATATTTTCATTTACACAATTTAGCAAAATCAGGCAATATTGTGTCTAATACATACCACAATATTAACTTCTTGCAACTGGTCAGTGTTTAAAAATGCTGGGAAATCACTTCACGTAAACCCAACATTAGTGATTACTGATAGACTGTCCGAAAAAAATAGTCCTGTTTTAGAGGAGAAAAAAAATCACCCTCTGACTTTCAAAGCTGCTACATTGTAACGACTTTCTACTTTTTAAGACCCTTATAGAAATGTAGTGGAGTTAAAAGTACAGTATTTGTCTTTTAAATGTAGTGAAGTTAAAGTCATAAGTTTCTAGAAAAAATAATACTCAAAGTGCACTTAAGTACAGTAATCAAGTAAATGTACTTAGTTACTGTACTGTCCGCCTCTGCTCGCGGCCGCTCACCTTTATAGCGGTTGTACAGCTGATCCAGCTTCTTGCGGTCCACTGCTGTTTTCATGGAGTGTCTGCGCTGGAGCTCAGGGTTCTGGAAGTAGTTATCGCTAACCATCTCTAGTCTCCAGTCATTGTGGGTCAGACAGTACAGAGCGGTTCTCTCTGCGGCCCACGTGAAGGACGAGAACTGACGGATCTTCTCCTTCTGAGACGACTTCAGTTTATGCTGGAGGAAGAGAAGAGGACAACAACAACAGCTTCAGTAACCCGTCTGCCCTGCTGTTAACCGTTACAGTTACAGTAAACACGGGTAGTTAGTCAAGTCTGTCACCAGTGTGTGGAATTTCAACACGACGCGACGGTCACCTTTGTGCGGAAGTTTATTTCTTACAATTTTGTTCACTCAGAATTGCGAGATATAAACGTGCAATTGTGAGAAAAATAAAAAGGTGCAATTACTTTTTATTTTTTATTCTGTGGTGGAAACACAAAACAGAATTATGAGATGTAAACTCAGAAAAAAGTAGAATTACATAGGAATTGCAAGGGGGGGGGGTCATAATTCTGAGTTTATTTCTTTACAATTTTCTCTCAGAATTGTGAGAAAACTCGCAATTACCTTTTTAAAAAAAATTTATTTTATTTTTTTATAAAAAAAGCTGAATTATGAGATGTTAACTCATAATTCAGAGGAAAAAAGTCTGCGTAAACTCGAAATTGCAAGGGAAAAAATGCATAATTCAGAGTTTATTTCTTACAATTTTCTCTCCGAACTGTGAGAAAAAGTCAGAATTGTGAGATAAAAACTCGCAATTACGTTTTTTATATAAGCAGACCATTTTTCTACCCGTACAAACTTTTACTATAATAACCATTATATTTATGCCAGAATACCAGTTACTGCAGTAAAATCAGCTGATTACATTCACATTAGATCTTTAAAAAGTTTATAATTATCGGTTTAATTATTGTTTTACGACAATGGTTAACACAGTTTACCACAGTAATAATATGTGTAGAACAGTGTGTACTTACTTGGGTAAACTGACATATGCAATTATGATTATTCAAACATTAGAAAATGTTTAAAAAAATACAGCATACTGGTATACGAAGAGCCTGACTTGAACGTTAAATCAAACCTTTATCATAAAATAGGCTACAGTAGTTGTACCAAGAATAATATCTTCAGTCTGGAAGGAACAGGACAAGGAACAGTTTATAGATGGTTTTTAGAACAAAGATCGTTTACAGCGAAGGTTGGTAATTGTTTCTCATATCCCGCGCATCTTACCAGTGAGGTCCCTCAAGGGTCCATTTTGGGCCCGGTTTTGTTCTCATTATATATGCTCCCACTGGGAAGGATTTTTTAAAAAGATGGTATTTCTTTTAGTTGTTTTTTAAATCTGAGGGCAATAGCTAAATTAAAATAATTTCTTTCAACTAGTGACTTAATTTGTTTTAATTATTATTATTATTTTTATATTACCTTAATTTTTGTTATGTACAGCACTTTGGAGTTACTGTGCAAGTTAACCTGAAAAGTACTCTGCAAATAAATACAAACACCATGCTACAGTGAAGGTATCAGCTGGTAATACCATGGCATTCTAAAATATATCATAGTATTGATTACCACGGTCGTATATCATCATGATAAGTGCATGTATTGCTTTTCTGAAGGGTTAAAGAGCTCAGTATCAGTGGAGGAACTGCTTTGATTCTAACAGCCTCATCTGACTCTCGTTTCCATTCTGCAGTCATTAACTGCCCCGGGGGCATTTCAGATAAACACTACTGCCCCCTGCGCACCTCCTGTTCGCTCACCTACCATCTTTATGCGCTGCTCCGGCGGATCTCCCTCTGCGCATGCGCGGAAATCACTCAGGGGGATGCTGGGAATTGTAGTTTTTACACCTTACAGAACTTATAACACGGCATGGATATATTAGTAAGTCGTAATTAATTACTTAATTATTTGTAATTACAAAAAAGACTGCTGTAAGTAATTATATTATGGCCAAATCAAACAGCTCAACCTATAAGTTTCACATATTTATAGTCATATTCTATGGAATGCATAGCCTATAATATATCACAATCCTGATTTTTTTTTTTAAATGGCAAGATATAAATTAAGAATTCTGAGATATAAATGCTGAACTGCGAGTATCTTTCAGTTCTGAGAAGAAAAAGTTCTTCTCAGATATAAACTCGAAATGGCGAGAAAAAAGTCAGAATTGTGTGACAAAGTGTTGCAATTATCTTTTTTATAATTGAGTTTTTGCATGAAATAAACTTACAATGCTAAGAAAAAAGTCTGAATTGTGAAATATAAATTCTGATATTTTTAGTGTTTTTTTTTCTCAGCAAGGAATAAAAAACTAAAGTTAACTGCAGGACATTTTTGTCACAGATTCTGAGTTTGTATCTCGGAATTCTGCATTTGAATGTCGCAATGTTTTTTTTGTTTCCAAGGAATTCTGACTTTTTTCTCTCCATTTCGAGTTTATATCTCACAATTCTTACTTTTCTTTTTTTTCTCAGAACTGCAAGATACTCGCAATAAACATTGTCATAAATGTTGTAATTTTTAAGTCATTTATCACGATGTGGTAACAGAGTGAATTTAGAAAATTCGCTCAAATGTACCGGAGATCAAATAAAAAGGGTCTTTGTATTGGTAAATAGAAACCATCCTGTGCTATGTTGAGCGTTTTATCTCGACGAGTCAGCGGTCTGAGTAAGTTACAAACAAATAAAATGTTATTTTTTTTGTAGATTATATAGCACTGTTTGTCATATATAACAGTTCTATCTCAGTATAGAACTCAATAACCGTCTTATTTTATTTTTATTCATGCATTCAAATATTTATTAACAAACAAAATAAAAGATGTTTCATAGATGCTACACTTGTAATAGCGGAGTTAATACGTATATGCAAAATATTGAAAATAAACTTTCTGTGATGTAGAAGAGACAATTGAACGTCTTTTTTGTGAATGTGTTTGTGTTCATTTTTTGGAGTTATGTACCTATCTCTCAGAAAAAACTAATGTCAGAATATGCATTAAGACTTTTGACTTTTATTGAACCCCCTCTGGTTCATGTTATGTTATTTATTTGTTTGTTTTTAGTTTATTTAGCTTACTTCTTTGTATTATTTGTGAGATATTTTGTCCTCAATTGTTCTTGATATTGTATAGTTTTGAACTAGTGCCGTCAAACGATTAATCGCGATTAACCGCGGTTAATCGCGTCCAAAATAAAAGTTTTTGTTTGCATAATATATATGTGTGTGTATATTTATTATGTATATATAAAGACACACACATGCATGTATATATTTAAGAAAAATATGTTATGTGTATATATATTAGATATATTTATATATAATATAAACGTATATACATGTAAATATTTTCAAAATATAAACTGCATGTTTGTTTGTTTATATATATACGTAATAAACAAACACAGTACACATATTATGTAAACAAAACTTTTATTTTGGAAGCGATTAATCGTTTGACGGCGCTATTTTGAACTTGTTATGAAGTATTTTGGCATTATTTAAAAAAAAAAAAAAATCAGAGGATTTCGATGCGTCACGTGCGGAGTTGTGAATGCGCGCTGACGTCACGCCAAGCGTATCCAATCAGCGCGCGTCCTCACGGGACACCGCCAAGCTCAGTTTGACTGCTGTGTGGAGCAGCTGAGGCGACTCGCGTAGACGCTCTGATTCTGGCGCGATAAACACAGATTTCGTCCATCTAACTGTACATATCGACGCGATATGCCGCGGCTGTGAGCGGGCTGGTTACGGTAAGAGAAAGGGCCACGGTCAGCGTGAGTTAATGAAGTTTGTGTGTCGTGTGGGAAGCGTTAGCTCGCTAGGTTCGGTTAGCTTAGCTGTAGCCGCGTCGAGCTAACGCGATATATAACGTTAGTTACCCAGTGAGGAGCGAACGACGCGTGTACAGCGCGACGCGAGGATGATTCGCACACACAGAAGCTTCACCCGTTCATCTGAACACCGACACTAGCCAGAGAAGTGCGACGCCTGTTTGTTTACGTTTACAGTACGCGCGTTATTCCCTCAGAGCTGATCGATATTCATCTTAATCGAATAAACACGTGATTTAGCTTATTAATCATGCATGATATAACTTCATATCCGACTGTGTGCGCGTTTGCATTGGGTTGGGTAACTTATATGTAGTATATGTAGGTCACACGGTCATCTCTCATCAGTTTAGTCACTAATGTGTTGCTGTGTGACTGCAGCTCATCCGCTGGCAGTGGTTTTAACTGAAGTATAAGGCTATTGCATATGTTTTTATTGCACAATGGGGAGAACATTTAACTTCATGAGGTAGATTGCATATATATAGCAACTATATATACTAAACTATTGAGCTATATACTAAAATAACAACTTAATTCATTTTTGTAAGCTTGTGATTCAGATTGTTTCATGTGTGATGTGTGTGTTTTCAGCTGAGCTGCAGTCGCAGACCGAAGACTGACCACACGCCGCGGTCAGCGCACTGACATCATGGCGAAAGATGTGAGAATCACACACACACTACAAGATTACACACTCAGACGTGTGTTTATTGCAGGGTTATTATAGTTCCATATAACTGAAAGCCGTTTAAAGCAGTTTTGTTACTTGAAATGCAATATAGAAACGTTTTCTCTAAGACAATAATTATCTGTTGAATATTAAACTATGTAAACAACAACTGTACTAAAACTTAAAAAAAGAATAATCTTTACAAATAAAAACTACAGAAGATTAATAAGAAGTGTAATAGTATCTCAATACTGAAATAGCCCTGGTTTAATACAGCCTTTATTTCTTTGTTTACAGTTATGTTTTACATATCTAGTTTACATTTGGTGATTTTGTGTTGTGGTTTAGTTTGAATTGACCATTTAAGGAAGAAAAGGTAAAACTCAAACACATAGTAAATAAGTGTGTGAGTGAGAAAGTGTGTGTGTGTGTGTGTGTGTGTG